AGAGAGAGAGAGAGAGAGAGAGAGACAACATGATTGTTTTTAAAGTAAAAATTCATGAAAAAAAGGATAGCACACCTGAGCAATATCCTCGACGAGACTTGTGGTGCAGGGCCGGGCCTTGACGAAAACGGCACTGTACCTGTCGTCAGGCTTGCACAGGAGCCGGACACAGCTAGCCAGCAGTTGTTTGTACTCGCTAGGCTGGATCAACTTCTTCTTGTACAGGAAGCCCAGCGTAGTGATAGCGTCCGGCTCTGACAGAGACAGCATGCCTGGGATACGGTGCATCATCTGAGATAAGAGGAAGGTAAGGGGGGGAAAAAAAGGGGGGGGGGGGTCAGTTTGAAAGTGACGTCTCTTTGTTTGCTTGTGAAGGCGTTTGACGCCATGCTAGACACAATATTGGGGCACTTTGCCAAGAGAGGCAGGTAGGGACCGTATGGAGGGTAGGGTATGGGTTTGCTCGCATTTCAACATTACAAAGGCATTTCCAGGAAGGACCTACGAATCTGATGTCCATCCCCGATAGGATTACGCCAGGAATGCGGAAAGCCTCGGGGGGAAAATCTCTCTAATGGGGGTGTTGGAACATGTGTCGTCAGCGTCACAGCCGTAAGACAGAGTTATGAAAGAAGGGTTTTTGAGTTTTTGAGTTTTTGAGTTTTGGGGTAAAGAAAAGATACCGACACAATAACGGCCATAAAGTGCAGGGAAAAGGAAGAAAAATAGATAGAAACATCAAAGGCAAAGGGAAGAAGTAGGACCTACCAGTGGCACCCTCCAACCATCCGCATTAAAAAGAAGAATATAAAACAACAGAGACGATAAATATATTCAACATGTACTTATGAGCGGATAATATGTTCAAGTATAACATCACAGCGGTCTTCTTTTTTTCTTTTTTTTCTTTCTTTTTTTTTTGGGGGGGTCACATCGTGTCCTTATTTGCTTACAAATATACATCGTAGAGATAATAGTATTATTGATATACCCTAGGCAGTTTTAGTTTACATATTTCCTTTCATTATATTGTTTTCATTAACAACGAATACAAGATCCCCGTAGACAGACTGAGACGTTCGATAACATAAAGTCGGAATTGTTTCAAACGGCCAGTCTTTGTCATAAGGAGAAAAGTGGTTGTTTGAGAAGGGTGGACGTCCTACACTGCGTTATTATGATGTGAAAAAATACGTAAAAGGGAAGTGGCATTTGTACAGATGCTTGTCTTGTTCAGGTGGTCGTTAGAGCAGATTCGAATGCAACTTCCTCATATAAAAAAAATCAAATTCACGACCTCTGAATGCAACGTCACAAGACCTCAGAAGCCTGTCTCCTTATGACCATGTCTACTGCATGTGTGAAAGGAGTGCCCTATTCCCACGGCGTCGACAAATCGGATGCTCGTTTATCTAATGACGTCATGTTTTCAGGGTTTGACGACACCCGGTACCACTGAGCTAGCTGAAATGAATTGACGGTAAATGCCATACACATACGTGACAAATTTTAGATATTTAAGTATAAGGTGGCGGGTCACTTTAGTCCTGCCTGCCAGGGCCAACATTAGCTGGGGAAAAAACTTGGTATCCCAGCATAAAGAAGAAAATATTGGACCAAATAACTTTATCTCTCGGAAATCGAGCTCGTGTCGTTGGCGTGCACATCAAAGAGCCTTACTAGAGTACCACATGAGCCAGTAGACTGATGTCCTCTGGCGTTTGAGGTTTTTATGTGAGTAAAAAGTAGGGGGAGGAGGGTATGTCCACTGTCCACCAATATCAAAACCTGGGCAGTTTCAGCACCAATACGGCTCACATCTCCCCATATTTTGACACTTCCTCGCATAAAAGACAACTGTTTTAGTGCCGTATCTATGTCGAGGTGGATTGGATAGAATTCTTTCCCGGTCTGATTCACAGATAAAGTTACAAAAGTTTCTTGTTTTTGTTTGTTTGGTTTGTTCTGTTTGTTTGTTTTTGTACCTTTTCTGTTGCTTTTGTTTATCTGCTTGTTTGTTTGTTTGTTTGTTTTGTTTCGTCTGTTTTGCTTGTTTTTCTTTCGTCGACCCCCAGGGTGGACAATTAAAACTAAGAGCCAAGTGTGAGAACTCAGTGTGTCACCAACCGGACAAATATAGGTGGAAGGACCTCACAATTATAATAGTGAGTCAGTTGGCAGAAAAACTATTAATCTAAAAAAGAAAAGAAACAGAAAAGAGGACACAGACGTAGTTAGTGATAATTTTATGTGAGTCTGGAAATGTATGGGGAACATTTTAGAGCAAAGAAGTATTCCGTCAAAAGAGTTCGGTTTTGGTTTGAGGTGTGAGTGCCATTACGATAAAACGACGGAAATTTAGTTCAATTTTGTTTTGTGTGCATGAACAAAAGCATAGAGTCTATTGATTCAGTAAAGATCATATGGAGCAGGGGAAAAGAATCAAGACAGTTACACATAAACAACAAAAGGAAATAAAAGAAGAAGTGCCCACCAGTATGTCACCCTCCAACCACCCACTTTGAGTACAGGAAATGTAAGATGAAAAACAAGATAGACAGAAACAACAGCCAGCAAGAAAAGATGAAGAAACCTAGTGGCGCCTACCAACGAACCGCAGTCAAAAGAGTAAATAGAGCAAAACGTGGACAGACATTGAGGTCATGCAGGAAAAAGGTTAACAGTTCCCTAAAGAATGCATAACATGTTATGTTGGATATATTCAACATTTACAAAGGGGTCGTTCAGAACACTTACCCACTGTGCGCACACAAAAAGCGTTTAGTCCTATTTTGAGTCTATTGAGGGCGGCCTCAGATCATTTTTTAAAAAGTGTATAAAGAGTATGCGGTACATGAGGATGTGTGTGTGTGTGTGTGTGTGTGTGTGTGTGTGAGTGTGTGTGTGTGTGTGTGTGTTAGTGCCCCCATTTCGAACTCTCACCAGAAAACATATTTTGAGAAAACGTACCGGTATCTATTAAATCATAAGGAGCTTTTATTGATCCCAGAAAGAAGGGAAAGGAGGTGAAAATAAACTTGTCTTTTTGTGCGTGTCCCGTGTTCAATCTGTCAAATCTCGGATTTTTTTAACGGAGCTATTTCTTATTTTCCCACGTTCTTCTCTTTGGTTCATTTGTGTTTCGTAACAATGTGGTGGATATAGCTAGGTATTATTTCTGGGAAGGTTTTCTTTTGAAAGAAAGGGGAGGCAGGAAGGGGGGGGGAGATGTAAATGATTATGATCAAGTATGCAAAAACAAGCTGCCATGCTCACGTATTATTTACACACACATGTATGCACACACATACACATACACATACACACAAGCACAAAACAACACAAACATAAATACACACATAAACAAATAAAACACATACAAACACACACACAGACAACCACAAACACAAACAAAAAACACAGACACAAACATTGACACAAACACACACACACACACACACA